ATATATATATATATATATATATATTGCATTACCTTTCTTTATCAGTAGAGCCTCAAGTATTCTTGTGCTAAAATCATCTTTCCCTCCCAGATCTTGAAATCCTACCAATCTATCTATTGCAACTCCTTGTCTGAAGAAAGAAACACCTTAGCCAATATACAACTATAACAAATTAATTTTATCTGCATTTATTATATAAACTATTAGTTTGATTTAGTAACATTATTTTATTTCTTCCAGGATAGCTTCTGCCACCAAATATATATTAGCACCTTTGTCCTTTATTTATTTTTTGTGGGTGGGTATTGAAGATCAAGATTGTTTAAGGATTCTAAACTTCATTCTCATTTTTTTGAGACCTAACAGAAAGATTAACACTATTCAGTACTGAATGCACTAAATTGACAAAGTTCCAAAAGGTACAGATTTATGCCTCACCTGAACAGTAAGTATGACACAAGGCAAAGTCTTGATAGCCAGTTTTGTAACAAAGAATGGTGCATTCTGCATTCCATTTTCAATTACGAACTTCATTCAATTTCTTTACAAAGACTAACAGTTGCATTAAGATAATATGTCCAATGTTACAGTTACATTAACTCAATCCCTAAGCAAACTCCAAAATCATCTCTACAGAATGGTTTATGCTGACCTCTGCATCAAGCTTGATGAACTTTGTATCAATATGCTTTGGTGCGAGAGACTTTAAATGCTTATCCATTATCCCGAAAACATTTGTTATACAACAGGCAATGCAACAATGTGCATGTCAAAATTAAGAGACAGAAAGATTACAAGTCATGAGGAATAATATTTAAGACAATAACATACTTGCATCTATAGAACTCCTTGTGGTAGAAGTGACAAATCACTTTTTCACTTCCAGTGACTTCACCTAAGAAACCCCCCTCACTTATCTCCCTGTATTCTCCATGACCTTTCTTCTTCCATGTCTCCCTCCCGTTTCTCAGCTTCTTTCTATTAAAGACAAATCTGGTTGTGAATGGCAAGGCAATTTATAAATAAAAAGAGTAAAAACAAAAATTTGAATTTCCTTTGCATCTCGGTACCTATGGAGATTGTCACCTTGAGAGCTGCAATCCTATCTGCATGCAATTTTTCCAACTCAGGATCCTGACATCAACATCACGTAGAGTAGTTAAATTAGAATGAAGGGATCAACACATATTTTTATATGATGAGGTTGAAAAGTTTGTAAACCATACATCCATCAAAGTCAACCTCCTCATTTGGTTGAGCCTTCCCTTGAGCAAGCAATTCCTGAAGGGATCATAGCATGTGTTACATTACAATCAATATGTAGCTTCTGGCATAAGAATTATACATAACAACACTCTTCAGAGAAAATTATAGCATAATGTTAGCATTTGAGAAAACAGAAAATTAGTTTAAAAACATACCACATAATACTTTTGAGAAAGTAGCACTTCAAAAACTATCACCCAGAACATACAAAATTCAACTATTCACAATCTATTGTAAGCTTCTTAAACAGATTGCTATATTAAGAACATTTGATAAGAAAAGATGAAAAAGATAATAAAGGGAAGGAGTTCATGGAAGAAAAAAGAGAGCAGTAAAAAGGTTTAACTATTGTTATATAAAGCATTTTGGGCTTGCCACGTGGCCTATGGCCTTTGGCCAATGATAAAGGTTTAACTATTGTTATATAATGCATTTCATGCCTACAAGTAGCTAACTAACTAGGCTCATTTTTTGCACATCTCTTACACTCACTGACTTGGGGTCAGAGTGTCTTTGCATGTATTAACAAATTATGCTTTTCACCGGATGTTGTTGTTGCTTGTCCAAGCCTTCTTGCCTACCTGAAGCATTTACCACATTCGAAGCCACCAAAAACACCCCATTTTATTTGCTCCAAATGAAAACAAGTGCAAGTGCATACCCATATTCAAGTATAAAAGAACATTACAATGTCATAACCTTCTGGTAACAGTAAGCAAACTAGGGTAATACCGTAATAGTTACAACCATCTTTGTAACTGTCAAATCATGAAAAAAGTGAATCGAAAAGGAAAAAATTGAACAACAGAACCAAATGAAAAGCTTTACATCATTCATGATATCATAAAACAACAATAGTGAGAATAGATTATGCTAAGACCTAAAAAAAATGACATCTTTGGACCTAGGATCTCACACAAACGTTGGTGCAAAGAGAAACCACCGAATAAACCACAAAGAAAATTGCATTGTGAAGTGAAGAATCGTTAAATTACCTTCTGATAATCGCGAGTAGCTGCAGCCATTACTTTCCAAACGCGAGATTGGACAGAGTGGACTTCACCGCGTTTGGATCCATCTCTATTATCTACAAAAATCAAAACAAAGATAAGAAATTTACAGTAATAACGATTAAGACGCAAATTAAATGATGTTCGCATAGTTAAGATCTGTGTGAAGGTGTGGGTACTAAAAATGGGAAGAGAGAAAGTTGTTCAAAAATTATATCCATCATAAAAAATTTAAAATTTTGGCGGTTTAGAACCGCCACAATATTTAAAAAATGTGCTACCGCGTGGCCAATTCAATTAAAATACTTTTTATTATTGTTAAAAGAATAAAAATAAAAATGTTAAGTTAAATTCAATTACATTATCTTCAAAATATCAAAATGTTAGAAGAAACCTGTAAAAGGGTTCGAAGTTCTCCTTCCATAAAGCATTTTCTTTACTCAAAATTCTCCATGCTACTGCCATGAGCGTGAGCATTCAATTCACATAAACGTTACATAGATTCGTTGACGGAGAGAGGCAGATTTCGGTTTGAAAAAGTTGTGCGTTCGAGCTTGGGCATATTCAGAGTCAACGTTGTGATTATTACTTCTATTCGCTCGCTGATTGCGATAATTTGGCATTCAAATGATGAATCTATAGGTATTTTGTGTTGGAAACATTGATTCTGTTAGGGTTATTGATGATTTTATTGGAATTTGGGACCCAAATGGTTTGGGGCTTACGGTTTGGAATCATATTTTGATGAGTATTTGGTTTGAAGCATGCAGATGCTTCTGGGGACTTTGTATTAGATCTCTTTTAGATGGATTTATATCCTTTGTGATAGACCGATTGATTCAAAAGTGAACCACTACACTTGGCTATGAATTTGTACCCTTGCCCTTCTGTAAGTTAAATGAATCAGTTTAAAACAAAATCATCATTACTCTGGAGCTTAGAACCAACATCAAGTAGATCTGATTTGGGTGCAATATATAAGCTGCTTTTATAGCAAATAGTTCTTTAATGAAGAGAAAGAAAGTAAAGGCTTGACTGTCATGTTTTAAACTACCAAATTATTTTCATTAACAAATTGTCTCATATCAGCCAGTCAAAGTAGTAAGTACCAAATGATGCATGGCTTCATTTTTCATCTCACTGCTAAATATCAAAATTTATTGTGTTTGAAGTTACTTAATAACAAATGTTCTGAACTCAAGTTAATTAAGCTTTTGTTCTTTTTTTTGTTTAAAATTTTTCTTCTGTTCCAAAACTTTTTCAAAATTTTCCGTGATATTTTTCTTTTTTATTTCCTTCTAGGTACTGTTTTCCGTGAACCCATAATATGCCGCAACATACCGAGAATTGTTTCTGGTAATGCCTCAACTCTGGTTTGATCATTAATGGAATTGAAATACAGCAAAGCACCATTTAGAACTTATTTTTTAGTTTACAGGATGGAAAAAACCCATTTGTATTGGTAGGCATGCTTTTGGTGACCAGTATAGGGCCACTTATGCAATAATCAGCTAACCAGGGAAGCTTAAGTTGGTATTTGGTATGTTAATTTCCAAAGTCCCGCTTTCAATGGAATTGAAACTTTTTAATTTATTCATTAGAATATCAAGCATGTAGTTTACAAACTTGTGTTTATGTCTAATTTAGTCCCAGAAGATGGTGATGCTCCAACGGAGCTTGATGTTTACAATTTCAAAGGCCCAGGTGTAGCACTTGCTATGTATAATGTTGATGAGGTTTGCTTCATTTCGTTTTTTTTAACACGTACTATCCCTTAGTGCAATTCCATGTATGCTACTCTGTATTCTCTACCTGACTTTTCTTTCTCTTCAATGACATTATACATAGCAAGTGCTACACCTGGGCCTTTGAAATTGTAAACATCAAGCTCCGTTGGAGCATCACCATCTTCTGGGACTAAATTAGACATAAACACAAGTTTGTAAACTACATGCTTGATATTCTAATGAATAAATTAAAAAGTTTCAATTCCATTGAAAGCGGGGCTTTGGAAATTAACATACCAAATACCAACTTAAGCTTCCCTGGTCAGCTGATTATTGCATCAGTGGCCTTATACTGGTCACCAAAAGCATGCCTACCAATAAAAATGGGTTTTTTCCATCCTGTAAACTAGTGCAGATGAATGCAGACTTGGGATGGAGTAGACAATATGTCAGGGAACTGAGATGAATAGTTTGTTTGTTTGCATAATTGTATCCATTGTTTATTTCTTCACTGTCTTAATGAATGTCTCATCATAAAAATGAATTATTGTCTCACTATGAATTATTTGAGAATTTATTTTAGCTTCATAGCTTATATATCAAATTAAAAATACAACTTCCTTGTATCATATGAAACTAACATTCATTTTCTCTGTTTGTTTGGGTGTGTGTAGACTTATTCCTTCTATATCATATCCTTCCATGCTTGAGTATAAATTTTACTGATTGGAAGACAAAAAAGTATTAGTTCAGTTACATGTTAGATGGAACTAATAATTGTAATTCTTGTAAATAAATAATAAATAGAGTAAATGCAAATTAGCCCCTAAAATTCTATTTTGCTTGCAATTTAGACACCAATTCTAATGAAACTAAAAAAATCCTGAAAAATGCAATACACTACTCATTTAAGTCCTTCCATTGAATAGACTCCATTTTTTTAAACAAAAATGTCTATGTGATACAATAGTGTCATGTAACATATATCTAGGGATGGCAAAACGGGCCAGCCCGGCCTGTTTTGGCCCGGCTCGCCATTGGCCCGCCCAAAACGGGGCGGGCTGGGCTGACCCGCCAATGTAAAACGGGCTGGAGATGCTGGCCCGCCCCGCCTAAGGCCCGCCAGCCCGCTTACATAAATAAAAAATAAAAAAATAGAAAAAAAATTATTTTATGGTTAAATAAATTTTTTTTTGCTACAAATAAATAAATATAATCATATGAAATTAAAAATGCATACATATTGTACTTAATATATGTTCAACAAAAACAAATTACAAACTTAAAACAAAATCAAATAGAAATTAGTCCATTTACACCAAAATCAAAACTAAATTATAAACTTACAAATTATTTATACACTAAATTTTTTGATAGTCCACAAACAAGTTTAAATACAATTAATTAACTTTAAATTTTTATTTTAAGAATATTAGAAGCTCTCTTGAAAGAAGATGTCTCTACTTTTTTTCTTAATCATCTTCATCCTCATCTTCTACATCAAAATAAAATAAACATAAAAATAATTAAATTAAAAAATATATATATATGCGGGCCGGCGGGTTGTGGCGGGCCGGCCCGCTATTTGGCCCGGCGGGTTGGCTAATGAAACTAAAAAAATCCTGATAATGCAATACGCCACTCATTTAAGTCCTTCCATTGAATACGCTCCATTTTTTAAAACAAAAATGTTTATGTGATACAATAGTGTCATGTAACATATATGTGGTACATATATAGAATGACAAGTGTGACGTGTTATGTGATGTGCCATGTGACATATATGTTCAATGTAGCACATGATTATATAACACAATATCATTTTAATCCCTAAAATTGAAACACTGTGTCACTTTAATACCTGAAAGTATAACTCGATGTCAATTTAGTTCCTAAAAATTTTAACTTGATATAACTTTAGTCTTCAAATATTTTCATAATTTTATTTTAATCAACTAATTATGACTTTAATATTTTTATAATAAAATAGATAATTAAATTAATATTGTAAATAAGATGATAAATATTTTCAAATTATATTAAGAATTTGGTATTTAACATTTTATTAATCCCTATACATAAAATACAAACAATTATATTGCTTGACTTTTCTAGGATTTTAGAGATTCTTTTACTTTCATATCTAATTTAGCATTTTGTTTATCATAAATATTTATAAATTAAATATTAATATTTTTAAAATAAATTACCATTAAATAAACATAATTTTGTTGTAGAGAAAAGACAGAAACTAAAAATGGGGGTTGAATAATATCTATAAAAAACTTTCAATTTTTTGAGAAATAAAGTAGTAACAATAACAATAAAGAATATAGAAAAATAGATGGACAACATAGGTAATTTTTATACTAGTTCGTCTCAACTATTAAGACTACGTCCATTTTTGTGGCTTGTGTTAGTGAAGAAAAAGTTTTGCATCAATTTTTATTGATTTTCTTTGTGATTTTAGGGATTCGCATGTCCTTGTTATTTTGTGCACAACACGACTTCATCCACTATAGATTTGTAAGTTTTAATGAGTTTTCTTTGCTCGATCTATTAAGAAATTGGTTAGTCATGCACCAAGTAGTCATTACTTATTATAAATGATACGCATTTGAGAATTTTTGAGGTAAGGTTATATGCTATCTAATGACACCTCGTCTGTTTAAAGGTTTGTGTCTAATGCTTCGTCTAATTTATATTTTGTAAAAATATTTTTCCTTTAGAAATATTATGTTTGTTATCATTAAAAATTGAAAGTTTGAGGGATCTAAAATAATCTTTTAACCAAACAATCTCTCCTTTTTTGATGATGACAAACACGATTTTGAAACTAAGATTTTTCTTGTCTTAGAAAATATTTTTGTTGATTAAGACAATGATTTTTGCAAAGATAAATTAATTAGAGAAATTGTTTTAATGAGATTTTCTTTAAGATGTGGAAGCATTATAAATTTATTAGAGTAGTACAAGAACGCATCTATCAAACGCTATGTATAAGATCATACAAGCTTTTAGTTTTACACATACATTCATTTAAGACATGTATATTGACATATTCTTTTGATCTTGTTGAACATTTCATAGCTTTATTGATGATTAAGTAGTTGTGTATATTAGCATGCTTATTAATTTTAGAATCTATCAGAATGAACATATCGACTTATTTGCATTAGGGCATACATTACACATTAGAGTCTCAAATGTCTATTAGAGCATATGTTATCTATCATGTATATCAAGGCCTATGTTGTCACTACAAGAAAAGCATAAATTTTTGACAGACATAATCCATCGGTAAAAATGAATATTCGTCAAAAATAGAGAATTTCTGACGGATTTTTTACGGATGCAAATCTATCGAAAAAAGCGGCATTGGAAAAAAATCCGTCGAAAATAATTTAATTTCTTGAAAATTTATGACGGATATATCT